TGTCCATAACCCTAGTGGAGATGGTATGGAACTCTTCAGGTGATAAGCTTGAATAGCAGACACTCCTAGCACACCACCACTTCTTCCGTAGATATGCTCCCCCTATTTAGCACGTGCACAGGAGATAGTCATCTTGAAGCAGTTCCTCTTGATGCTGGACACTTCATGAAACCTCCTTGACATATAAGTCTCTACGTAAGTAGAGTCCATACCGTACATAAACTCTATCACATGACTGACAAGATGCTACAACTCTTGACTTAACATAGACTAGTTAACACTTCTACAGAAGGGGTTTTGTCAAAAAATAATGCCAACATAAAACAATATCAACATCAACTAGTCGGAGCTAACACACTTTGCCGTCTATGTAGGTATGGGCGAGAAGAAACGCTTTGTGCTTCCAATTTCATACTTGAAGGACCATTCATTCCAAGACTTGCTATGTCAAGCCGAAGAAGAATTCGGATTTGATTATCCAATGGGTGGGCTTACGATTCCTTGTCCACATGACTCCTTCCTGGGCATCATATCTAGAATGAGTAGTAGATCTTGATACACTTTAGACGTTTTTTAGTTTAGTCATTAGAACAACATTCCAGAGATATAACATATTTTTTGTACAGTATTCTATTTTTTTCCCCATCAAATTGGGAAATATATATTTTTTGAAATCTATGGAAGATCTATTTGTTTATTACTCATCTAATATCTTGAACATCATCAAGTGGTTTGAAATAAAGTCGCATCATTATTCAAGATCTTACCAAGTATACAAAAACTAAGATTCAACAGATAACTTATAGCATATATATTTCTATCTTTAATCTCCTGAAGAAAAGAAAATGGAAGTTGAATTTTGTTGTGTATGATACCGAGTTTTTTGACCATGTAATCTAGAGAACGTTTGGATAATAAAAAACTATTAGTTATATATTTATTAGTTATTAATATATAGCATATATTTATGAATATACTACTACTAATTAATTAATAACTAATAAATATATAACTAAATGTACTACTCTACCATTTAAAGAAATGATGTTAGGTAGATGCTACAAATCCTACAATTGTCTACAGGTAGAAATAATTAGTGCTATTAACCAAAGAAATAATTTCTCCATGGCGTTGTATTTTGGTCCGATTTTGGATAACTGTAAAATCCTTTTGATTGATTCTAATTCATTTATTTGTTCTCTTGTTTGTCCGTGAAGCTAAAGGGCTGTTTGTTTCGGCCTCTTAATGCTTCAGATGTCTGAATGGTTCAGCACTTAATGGTTTAGACTGTTTGTTTCAGCCTCTTAATGGTTCAGATATCTGAATGGTTAAGAGATTTGCCTCTGAATGGTTAAGTATTATACAGAGTCTGAATGGTTAAGACCTCTTATCTGAATTGATCAGACATTTGCCTCCGAATAGTTAAGCAATATACTAGCTCTTAATGGTTCAGACCTCTTACTGGTTCAGCACTTACCCATTCAGAAGTTGCCAAACAGCCCCTAAGTCTTATTTTGGTGTAATTACCCCTGACATTATGGTTGTGTTTGGTTGGGGTAAAATATTTTTTTTGAAGAATATTTTCCAAAGGAAAATAATTCCAAGAAAAATTATTCTTCAATCATATAATCCATTGTTTGGTAGGATCAAAATATTTTCCTTCCACTAATATCACCAAACACATGAAAATGGAATCAAAATTTTCCTGAAAAATATTTTACGCCCAACCAAACACACCATATATATCTGGTTTGGTATTGAATTTAGAGGTTATTGCGTTTAAGAAAATGTCTCCACCCTATTTTAGAGAATCTGTTTTGATTTACTATGTTTACATGAAGTTATTTTTAGTTCAATTTATTTTAGAATTGGGGTAATTTTTTTTAAAATTACATATTTAAAAACTATATACAAAATTCTTCAAAACAAGCCGACGTGATTATATTATTTTACTCTTTATCATATAGATAGTGAAAATAATTAAAGAAAGAAAGTAAAATTTGATATTGTAAATAATAATTATACAATTTAATTTGAGTTTAATTTGGGACGAAAGGAGTTAACATTCCCAATATAATGCGAAATAAGTTTTAGACTCGATTACGAAATTTGAGTACATCAATACTAAACAAACAATTTCATTTGGAGTGGAAGGAGTATATAACATGCCAAATTTAATGCAAAATAAATTTTAGACTTAATCACGAAATTTGATAGGCTTCGTTTGTTACACGAAATTCAAACTATGAAATTAAAATTGGAAACAACAATTTCAATTCTATATTTGGTAGCACAAAAATATGTGAATTTGGAATTGATAGCACCAAAAACAAATTAGAATTGGGAACTTAATTCTATCCAAATCAATTTCAGAGAATTTCAACTCCCAATTCAATTCCAATTTCGTCAATTCTTTGTACCATACGAACCCTTAAATTTCTAGGCACATCTAAAACAGAGATGAGTTCAAGGAATTGTAAGAAAGCTGGGAACAACTCTAGTCTTTCAAGGCCAACAAAAATAGTGTTGTGAGAATAGGAAAGTTCAACAAGAAATACATGGAAAATACCATATGGAAAACAAAAATATTTTGGCATTTCATATATGGAGTCACTTTTTTTTCCTTCTTTGTTGATGATTTCTGATATTTAAAAAAAACTCAACATACAGAAGAGGGGAAAAGGAAGTAATGTTATAGTGTTTTCATAGATAACATTCTTTCCTACCACAGTTTCCATTTCCAAACCATCCCCCCCTTCATCATTCTCTCGTGTGCTGTGAAAGACTAAAATAAATTAGTTAGCTTGGAAATCAAGAAATAGGCGTAATTTCTGCAGAAGCAGCTCCCGCGTTCCATAGAGAGGCATTGCAATCCAGTCCTTCTCTAGGGTACCTGCCCTTAAACTTGCTGACATTTCGTCGTGGAATGCGACCACAATGCAGTAAATGGAAGAGTCCTAAGGATAGAACTCAATTACATCTAATTTAATTCTAATTCCATCAATTCTATGCACTAAACAAACTCTCAAATTTCCAGGCACATCTAAAACAGAGATGAGTTCAAGGAATTGTAAGAAAGCTGGGAACAACTCAAGTCTTTCAAGGCCAACAAAAATAGTGTTGTGAGAATAGGAAAGTTCAACAAGAAATACATGGCAATATAATATGGAAAACTAAAAAAAATGGCATTTCATATATGGAGTCACTTTTTTTTCCTTCTTTGTTGATGATTTCTGATATTTTAAAAAAAAAAACTCAACATACAAAAGAGGGGAAAGGAAGTAATGTTACAGTTTTTTCATAGATAACATTCTTTCCTACCTCAGTTTCCATTTCCAAACCATCCCCCCTTCATCATTCTCTCTTGTGCTGCCAAAGACTAAAATAAATTAGTTAGCTTGGAAATCAAGAAATAGGCGTAATTTCTGCAGAAGCAGCTCCCGCGTTCCATAGAGAGGCGTTGCGATCCAGTCCTTCTCTAGGGTACCTGCCCTTAAACTGGCTGACATTTCGTCGTGGAACGCGACCACAATGCAGTAAATGGAAGTCCTAAGGATATCTGCCATTGAATAGGCTTTTGTGTACAGAAGGCTCCCCTTTCTTCTCCCTGCAACCCCAGAGGGAGTTGGGTCTCTTCTTCCAGAGCTGCTGTTCAGTGTTGCCCATTTGATCCCGGTGGGGTCCATCTGATGGTGATGGGAAGATTCTATGCTGGTCTTCTTGCCCATCAGGGCTTCCGCGGCTAATAAACCTGACAACAGTGCTGAGACCACAGCGGCATTGCGTCCGGAGAGTTGTGCCACTCCATATCGGTCTTCTGTGCGTGAGGATGCGGTCAATGAAGATGTGGCCCTGGCACACCATGCAAGTACCTGTGTATGCATTTAGAAATACAATCATTGGTTCGCATGTTCGATTTCAGGGCTTTGCTTGTTGTAATTGTATAGCTGCTGCATTTTGACATTTCACAAACTACAGTGTGTGAATTTGAAGAACTTAAAGAGTGTGTAAGCCATATAGGTAGCTGTAGGGCAAGTGCTACTAGTGTTGTGGTATGTATGAATGTATATATCTAAAAAAATACACATTTGTTTCAAGCATTTTGTTCTTTCCATCATCTCTGATGGAGCCAAAATTTCACCATTTTTTGGCTTTGGGGTGTGATGGAATAAATCAAAATGGATCTCTAAACTGTCTGCGCTTCTTTAATTAATGAAGTAGCAGTTAGTCAAGCAATGCAACTTTCGACGTTGAGCCGGGGGTCTCTTTGGAAACAGCCTCTCTACTTTCGAGTAGGGGTAAGGTCTGCGTACACACACCCTCCCCAGACCCTACTCTTGTGGGATTTAACTGAGTTGTTGTTGTTTGTATTTTGTTGTNAAATACACATTTGTTTCAAGCATTTTGTTCTTTCCATCATCTCTGATGGAGCCAAAATTTCACCATTTTTTGGCTTTGGGGTGTGATGGAATAAATCAAAATGGATCTCTAAACTGTCTGCGCTTCTTTAATTAATGAAGTAGCAGTTAGTCAAGCAATGCAACTTTCGACGTTGAGCCGGGGGTCTCTTTGGAAACAGCCTCTCTACTTTCGAGTAGGGGTAAGGTCTGCGTACACACACCCTCCCCAGACCCTACTCTTGTGGGATTTAACTGAGTTGTTGTTGTTTGTATTTTGTTGTCCCAACTAAGTCTCTTCTTTTTTTACTGAAATTTATCGAACTGAATTTGATTTGAATAAAAATAAGTCACAAAGAAGATACTTTAACTCATTGTTGGAGTCATTCATCCAAGTGCACCTGCGAAATCAAAGTCTGTAAAGTTGGTGCTTTTACAAATGGACTAATTAATCTTCTGCTCATCAACAACAACCTAGTAAAATCCCACAAAAGTAGGGTGTGTGTATGTGTACACCTTACCCCTACCTAAGAGTAGAGAGGCTGTTTCCAAGAGATCCCCTACTCAAGCAACACAGAGAACAAATAACAAAACAGGATCACAAAAGCAAACAATCTTCTCCTCGCTCCCTAAAAGACTTCCTAAATGACTCCTTTATGTTTACACTTTACACAATGACACAAAAGAGAAAGGTCGAGCTATAAGAAAGAAGAACGCAAAGGAGTTCGAAGGAGCATAATAAAGAAGCGCACTTTGTGCTCTTTCTTATATATTGACCTTTGGAAAGGTCAAGTTAAGCTAAGCAGAGGAGCATATTCTAAAAAGTGCACTTTGGGAATCAGAACAGATGATGCAGCACACCTCTATTTTGTAGAACCCTATACTATGTGGCTTCTTTCATGTAGCTCTTTTGTAAATTTAAAGAGAGGACTATATAATTGGAAATCAACCATTTTCTATTATAAATAAAACCAACGAAGGCAACGAGTTATGTTCTGAAATTCCTTGTTTTTTAAACTCTTCCAGAAATAGATCTTTCTTACACTAAACTTATCTTCTTCGGGCAAGCAAGCTCAAGATCTATTTCAACAAGGGAGCAATTTGGTGGAGATGGAACTAGAATGTAAGAGTAGAAAATGAACTTGACATCATGTTATTCTGCATGCTCATCAGTACAACTGTTATGAGCATGCATTATCTCAACACAAACAACACAAATGTTCCAGCAATCTGATAAGTGTGTACAAAATAGCAACAGAGCCAGTACAATCCCATAAATGAGGTCTGGGTGTCCTCAGACCCCACTCCTACCTAGAATAGGTTGAGAGATTGTTCCAAGAGATCCCGGCTCAAGCATAAAAGAATCAATAAGCTCAGCAAGTAAAGGTATATTAAAAGAGAAAAAACCAAGCAAACACTGTACTTCATCTACCTAAACCAAAAGGCTCTATCCATAGAGAAA